CTTGCTGCAGGGCTTCCGTCGGGACGCCAGGATGACGAAGTCCTGCGGCTTGTTCTCGCAGCTGAGCTTCTGGCTCACCACGTGGTAGATCATGTCGTCGTCGTCGACTGGACGAGCTCGGCGCTCCTGTGAGGCAGGGGGAGACCGGTCAGAGAAACCCTGCTGTGACCCCCAAGGAATCTTACGCATTTACAGCCCACCACCCTACCCCAAGTATTTTGGGGAACCCAAAAGAGGTGTTTTCTGCAGCAAAATGCAGCCGTCAGCCCAGACAGAGGCACGGACGTATGGTGAAGGGTCTCTAGGAAGGACCACGGCTCCGGGGCAAGACACTTGCTCCGGGAAAGCCCAAAGGAGTGTTCGGTGATGAGCCTTAAAATTTAGGGCTGTGATTTTGGGGAAGGGTTGGGCGGCCCCGCCGCACTCACGCGTAGTGTCTGTCCCACTCGTGCCGGCGCCGCAGGTCGGAGAGCAGGGAGAAGGCTTGGCCAGCAGAGATGTGGACCGACATCTCGATGCGGAAGGAGAGGAACTTGTCCTCCTCCAGCGTGTACATCCGCACCTGGGGGAGGGCAGGGCGCGGGCTGGGACACGTTTACCCCCACCCAGTGCCCCCGCCGCGGAGGCTCAGGGAAGGAGGAGCCAGCCAGGGGGTGGGGCAGGGTTTAGTACCTTTTCCTTTTCTCTGGCAAGCGCCCAGTTGGCTTTGGCTACCAGCATCTTCAGTGCAGAGACGTTGTTGTAGCTCAGATAAACCTGGGGCAGGGGCGGCAGGTCAGGGGCAGGGAGGGGACAGGAGGCAGCAGCTCGGGCAGGGCAGCTCCCCTACCTTGTTGCTTTGGTCCCAGGGCACAGAGAGCGGCACCTCGGTCTGCTTGCAGGAGGCGGCACCTCCGTCTGCTTGCAGGAGACGACATATTTTCTGCAGGAAAGGGAAATTTTCCTTTATGGTGGGACACAAACCACCCACGGGGGAGAGCCACCCTGTCCTCCCTCCTCCCTCCCCACACCCCACTCGCTTTCTCCGCTCACCGGTCCAGCCGAATCTTTTTCCTAGCACTGGCTTCTCTGTACCTCCTCTCTCCCTCCTGATAAATGGGAAAAGCACATTAGGTTAATAGGAAAAGGAGGACGGAAAACAAAGAAAAAAAAGAGGTATCTCTTTGGGAATGGGCAAAACATTTAGGAGTAAAATTCCCCAGGCTCACTACTGCTGACAGAGCGATTAACCATAAGCGATTTCAGCATCTCCACTGCATGCTGTGAGCAAGCAACGGGCACTGGCACATCAGGAGAAAACCCTCCCTGCAGCTGCAGAGCTGCAAACAGCCACTCAAACACTGACACGGCCCTTAGCATGTGCAAACATCCCCTCCTGGGGAAATAACCCCCCAAAAAAGCAGCTTATTTTGGCCAGTGCGGTGTTTTAACACAGGCAGAGAGGAGGTTTCAAGGAAGCAAGATCTGTACATCTTGAGATGCTCTTGGCGGTTAGGTGTGAGAGATGTATGAGGTAGGAAAGTCCCAGCTGTAAGGCATAAACCAGATCAGGCAGGTCAGCCCAGGGGAAGGCAATGCTCCGATGGTGCCCTGGTGCACCCTGAGACACGAGGGTGTTTGCTTCCCACCGTGCTCGTGTGGCCTTGCCATAAATATTTGGATCTGAGCAAATTATGGATTCGGATGCTTTCAAAGGTAAAAACTACCCAAAAGGTTTGCATCCTTTCCCTGGAATTGTAGAAGAGCTGAGCTCGAACTTGCAGGCAACGTTCTGTTAAGCCTTGCATGGCTCATACACCTCCCTCTCTGCACAGGCACGTGGTTTATTTTATTATTATTTATACCCAGCAATGCGTTTAATTCTCTTCCCATCGAGCGATTTCATTTCCATCCCCATAAAACCGCGTTGGTTTTGCTGTGCACCCAAGAGCCCCCCGGGGCGAAGGGGGACCCCCGGGGGTCCCGTGCCACCGTGGAGGGGAGAAGCCGGCCCAGCCCGTCCTTACCCCCGGCTCGGGTGCCACCATGGGCAGGGTGCGGGGCCGGCCCTCCTGGTCCAGCACCACGAAGGTCATGAAGGCGCTGTTGATGTGCCTGCGGCTGACGGACATCTCCTGGCCGTACGCCTCGGCGCAGACCCCCACCTCCATGCTGGATGGGAGAGGGGGAGAGGAAAGGGTGAGGCTGAGGAGAGCTGCCGGGGGAGGGGTGGGATGGGGACCCCGCATCGCCAGCACCCACCTGTTTTTGAAGGAGTTGTTGACAATGGCTTTGAGCACCAGGCGGTCCCCGACCTGCGATGGTCCCCGAAAGTGGAACATCTCGATGGCCTGCAGCGTAGGGTGGGCGTGGCACAGCCGGCTGCAGGGGGCAAGGGTTACCCTCCGGCTGTGGCCCCGTGCCCTGGGAGCCCCACACCCCCTCCCTGTTCCAGCCAGGGCTGAGGAGACCCCAAAAAATGTCAACCTTGGATTTCAGCTGCCAAAACCAGCCACGACAAGGGACAATAAGGAGACTGTGCTGACTGTTAACCCTTCCCTGGGGTCCTTCAGCACCACGCACCCGTGGGACAAGGAAAATGGCATTGCCCCAGGGTGATGTGCTGGGGACCATCCTTTTGAAGGTCCCTACAACCTGGCTGTGGCCCGACCTGGGTGGACACTGTCCTGGCTATGTGTCCCCTCCCGCC